TGACTTTACGTTACTTACTCACTTATACTTTAGTTTTTATCATGAACATCTGGTGTTTATTATTGAAATGAAATTTAAAATTTAATACTTTTTTTTACATTATCTTACATAATACTTTATCATAATCTATAGGCAATAATGACTTTATGAAGTATTAATTATACATTTGATAATTCCGAAATTATTATTTTCTAAGATAATGATAATGATAAAGATAAAATATAATATGGTATTGAAAATGATGATGGTAATAACTATTCATCGGAAGACAAAGATCTATTTGACAATAGTAGTTATGTTGCTATAACATCTTATAATTTTCAATCAGATTGAAATAAAATGTCAGCATAAGTCAAAAGTATTTTAACTTTTTGGGAATCTCTGGGCTACTATTAATTTTAGATGATAATATTGATAATATTTAGAACATTTTAAATTATTTCTTATTTACAAGGTTATACAATGTATGGTCATTGAAAAGGTTTATATTCATAATTTACAATCATAGTTCACTAAATTTTTATCTTTGCAACCAATAATTAATATTATGGTATGAAAAATTAAAATAACATATGTTATAGATTTGATTTGCAAAAATGCCATCACTAGCAGACTAGCAATTAAAGTAAAGATGAACGTAATGAAAACAGTTTAGTATCAACAACTACTATGTATATAAATAAATTTGTTTTAATTTATACAATTTTGCATTTTGAGAATAATATGTTTGCAAATAAAAATATCACTTACCTATTTTATAAGGTTACTTTACTCAGGAAACCCTGAAAAAATAATAAACAATACAAAACTCATAAGTTTACTATACAGTTTTTCAAATATATATACTACCATACAAAATAAAAACAGTTTTATATGAAGTGTAAGATTAAACCGTTTTAACTGATCAAGATAGGTAATGTATTAACGTAGATCATATACGAAATTGTATATAAATTATAAAAAATATTATTATTATATTTTGTGTGAAATATCATATTTAATGATGTTCCTACTTTGCTACTGCACTCTTCTTATTACTCACTTATCTTATCTAATCAAATTTCCATCCAGTAAAAACATGCAAATTAAAATGTTTTCCTAAAACAAACAATAACAATGTTTCGGAAGTAAGTGAATTAATTAAATTTATCACTATTATTGAATTGTATTATATATTATTGATGTATTAGTGAAAATTTTAAATATTATTTACTAGCATATTTTAAGTATTACTGTAGTTCTATAATGCTTATTATTATTATGAAATAGTACCTATACATTACCAGTAGGTATAATCCTTTTGTAGTTTTGTACTATAAATGCCTTAGCACATCATTTTTTGTTTTAGTGCTGATACAGCTGAGTAAATTATGAACAAGAACAGCTCTTGTATATTATGTAAATACAGGATAATAATTCTAAGTAAAAGTTTCACGTAAAATATGAAATAAATAAATATATTGAGTCTATTAGAATTTGTATACTTGGAAAATTCTAACAAGTCATGAAAAATTAACTGTATATTAATATAAATAACTTTAATTTTCAAACAACTATTGACATCATCCAATTTAAATATTTTTAAACTTACAATCAAAATGTCTATTGTGTACGATGATTAATTTAATGAGTATAACATTTTTGGAATTCCATCAACTTGCTTTTACTAAAATAAGTGGAATATGATTCTTGTCCATACATCTATAATGTAAAAGTATTGTCTACATTTTCGTGATTCCTATTTTTCGTCCAAAGGTTTGACATATTTTATCGATTTCTACTTTAAAATAAGTAAAAGGCACTTTTATTTTTGATGCCAGATATTATACCACACAAGAAAAATTTTCAAGTTCAACAGATTATCCTATCTTAATTTTATTTTTCTATAGCTTTCTGAAAAAAATGTTGATATATTCTAAGAGTCCCAAACAAATAAGTGTTATACGTGACTAAAGTTGTTCTAATATAGTGACTCATACAAATTATCAGTCATAAATGCCCTAATACCCCAAGGACTTGGGAGTTAAAAAAATTTAAAAAATGTATATTTTTACAACAATTGAAAATTAATTACACAATTTTGTTTCATACTATTTATAAATAACTACAATCACCAACCATTTTCTTACCTGAAGTTTAATATTAAATTACTGTTATACGTTAAGTCAATCAACTGAAAAATTGTTTCATCATTTTATTAATAGAAAATAATATCTTATTTGTTTATTTTTGACATTTCAACGGTTATGTTGTTTTAAACATTTTTAATTTATGTATTATATTATATCTGTTTATACCTTTTATTGTTAACATTATTATATCAGTTCATTGTTACTTAATTATAGTCAATTACGTCTCGGTGTAACTATCACTAATGTACATATTATACTAGATAGCAAATTCATCATACTATTTAAATTTTATATAAATTAATAATCATGTTAAAATTGTTAAAAATGTACCATCCATTTTAATATCAATAGATGTAGATAGCCAAGGATAGGAACATCTTATTATATCTAATTAAAAAAAAAAAAAAAAAAAAAAACATTTTTAACTAGCTTTATACATTATAATTAAAAATATTTTATGAAAAATATCATAATTATTTAGATCAAATCATGCATTTTTTTTTGGTTATACATCGTCTGAAATACGTTTAACATATAAAATATCATCATGTCATAAAATTATTATTCGTATCCTTTTAGGGTTGGGTTGGAATACATTTAGTGGAACAAGAACGAACAATTTTTAATTATCGGAATACCTAGTTAGTAGTTACCTGTTTGGTGATATGCTTGATGTTGTATTACGATTTTTGAACTTTCTTAACAATGTTATCACTGCTCCGACTTTTGAAGAAAACAATTTTGATATTACTGAAAAGAAATTACCCAATCGATGGACAGACGTCGCTATCTATAACCATAATTTGATTGGGAAAAATTTTATTTGATTGTGTGACATATAATTTTAGATCATACACTATGGATAGAGCCATAGCGTATTATACCAATACAAAATAATGAAGCCGATATTAGCAACGAGTCACTGAATTAGATGTTCGATATGCGCATGTGCGATGTAATTTGTAGTTTAATTATCCTTATGTTATATTGTTATATTTTAACTTTGAATACGGCCTATGGATAATATTATGCAACATAATAAATTACGCATACACATAACGAACACCTTAAACAGAGACTCGTCGCTAATATCGACTTCAAAATAATACGTTGTAGCTCCATCCATAGTATACGATTAAAGCATTCAATATACTTAATAACTTAATAAAGTTAAAATTTCACGAAATAGAAAAAAATTTTTTGCAGTTAATGAAACAAATTTATTAAGTAGATATTTTTCATGAAACTAACGTTTATATGTCATCCTGTAATTTTTTTTAATATATGATTAACATTTTATCTGCACGACAAAAGCTTCAAAAATTATATTTTACGGTAATTTTCATAAACAAATTTATGAATAAAATATTATTATTTTATTATCCTTGATTTATTTGACAGAACATGCTTCCCAACGTATTAAATTTAAATATCACACATTTAATTTAGTATCCGTAATTCATACATTCGTGGGTTATTAGATATTTTTCCAAAAATTATACCTAATTTTAAATTAGTACTTTTTTATGGTATTTTTAGACTATTTATTTTGTTTGTATAATTAAATTTTATCATAAAGCCTGGTATTAAAATTTAAAATATGAAGTTTTTATTTTATTTGAAAACATATACAGTTACATTTGAAAGATATTATAATTATACACATTTTATAAAATGAATTAAATTATCACATAAAGCCATGAAAACTATCAGTGTTGATCTGTGCGTTAGAATATTTAAAACGTCTATTTTAAGAAAAAATATAACTTCATCTCATGAAAATGTGTTAACTCGTGTTTTTCTTAGCGTTTAAAGCGATTTTACTAAGTGGGTAAGCCATATAGAATATATATAAATATATTATATAATTTAATGCTGGATATAATGTTGTATTGTCGTACACCGTGGCAGTGTTTAATAAAATATTATGTAGAATATTATTTTTATAGTTGACCGGTGGTAGCGGCGTATCGCAAAGTGTATTGAACTTTGAGTTTTAAGAAACTATAAAAATTATATAATCAAAAACTGTTAAATAATTTCAACGATTTATCGTTATTTCTTTTATTATATTGCCAGTTTAATCTGGGTCACCTTTTATAATATTTATAATACAATATTTTAATCCAAGCATTTCAAGAATTTACTTTCTGATAGTTTTTGACTCACCTCAGCATTATGAAATTTTTATATCAATCTTATTGTCTTTTTTTTGTCCAAAAATATATTTATATTATTTAATTAGATACAAGGTACTTTATTTCATATGTCTGTAGATATTTAATAGGTATTTGATACATTGAAGATTTAATCAAACTTGTAAATATGTGAAATTCTGATAATCTAAATAATGAATAAACATTATAATCCGATAAAAATCATAAAGAATGCTATATTTTCAATTTATGTTTAGTGATTTTAACAAAATATTTTTTTGTGAATTTATCAAATTGCTTATGAATTTACTTTTTTCATTTTTGTATAATAAACAAATACATACATCTATATTTGTTATTACAGCAAGTGTATCTTAGGTTAAATATTTTTTCCTGAAATTTATAATGTAAACGTCCCATATTAATTAAACGTATTAAATAAATTCCTTTATTAGCACTTTAATTCAATAAAAGTGTATTGCTATGAAGTTTTAGCCGATAAAGAATCCTCCTATATGACAATGCACTGACCAGTTTAATTGCATTTAAAAAATGTAGAACAATTATATTCTTTCAAGAAATCAAGATTGTACTTCAATAGTAATATTAATATGGTATATATTGTATCGATCAACATTAATAAATATAAATAATATATTCTACCACATTTATACTACTATTATACTAGAACACGAGTATACAGTATAAAACCAAAAAAAAAAAATGTATATTAAATTGTGGATATTTGTTCAGTTATAAATACTTGAACTCTTTTTAAAAAAGTAATAATTGTAACGCCATTACAGACGTTTTTCCTTCAGTCAAGTTTGACAGTTTATGTACACAACTACTTGCATGGTATATAGACGACATAGTATGATACATAATTAAAAATCATCAATTAGTTTTTATTTCAGAAAAAAATTTTTAATAAAACACAAACATTAAATAATTTGCTCGTATATATTATATATAATATATATTGTTCACAATTAAAAGGTTTTGGAAAATACAATATAGCGGTTAAATCCTATATTAAATGTATAAATCATAATATATTTTAATGTTTTTGTGATCACGTATTATTATGTTTATATCGTATATTGCGTGGTGTAAAGAAAGTTATCTCATTTTCTTATTTAATTTTTGTTATCGATAATGGGTGTAAGTGGGTGGTTACTGACAGGGTAGTGGAGGGGAGGTGACAGCTCGCTATTGCCTTGGCACTTGGCATTGCTGTAGTTCAGTCACGCTGCGAAATAGAAGAAAACATTTTAAACGAATAATTAATATAAATTCGATTGGTACGGTTAAATAGAATCGAGACCTATTCACGATCTATTCTCGGCATCCACTCCGATACAAACATAATAACATCACAAACGATCGACCATGTTACATTACCATATATGTTGAATATACCGTATATTATATTCATAATATAATATATTACAATCATAATTTATAAAATTATTACTCTTGTAAAATACTTATCAAATATGACGACGATGACCGTCTATAATAACATGACGTAACAATAATAATAATTATGTCTGAGTGTTTGGCTATTGTGTATGATAATCGTAAAGCTATCTTAAAAGAGATAGTGTTATTCGATTGGCTACAAAGGCGACCAATACAAACACACATCCGGTACCGAAACGATCAGCTGAACTCGCTTGTGGTCCACCTAGAAACGTTTCACAGAGTGTAAATACATGCACATATAAAATAATAAAAACGCAAATTTATAAATCGGCAAAGGTTATCAATTTAATTAAGTAATTGATACCCTCAATACTATGGACTTATAAAGTAATATCGAGTATGGGAATCAAGATTATTACAATTTTAATACAGGTATATTATCATTACGTGATCACATGTTGCTACGAAGGTAAGATAATCAGTGTAAAAAAGATAAGAAAACTCGATGTTTTCGAATGTGGCTCTATTTAAAAACTAATAGTTCAGTATCGAGTTAAAATTAGTTGGTAAAAAATGATAGGACGTCTATCGCAGTACCACAATGCATAAAGAAAAGCGTCATAGAAAGCTGTATCAGAAGAAGAGGTCCAAGAAAAGAGTAAGACATTAAACATATCTTGAAAGACGCGGATAAAGATAATGATCTGGACTTAAAATTAACTTACTGAATAAAAGCTTTGAGAACTGTTGCAAACCAATCAAATAATCGAAGACATAAAGAACAATAAGGAGACACTGAGACACATTATAGCGGTTGATACATTAACTATTAAGTGTTGAACCTCAAGACTAAGGCAAGAGTTTTCAACGTTTATTGACCGACAGATCCGATTAAGATATAAAATATAACAACCTTAATTGTCAATAATTAGTTGATGTTAAAACAGATATATAATATTAGATATATTATACAGAATTAAATACCCGCTAACATTTAAAACACAATGTTATATTTATATGTATATTAAGAAATAAACAAAACAATATATCTCAATTGTGATGATTTTTTATAGTTGAATTGAACGATTTAATCAAATTCTGAAGCTTAGTGTGCCAAAAAAATTGTAAATAAAACAAAATATTCGTTAAATTGGGTCATAAATAAAAAGTATTAATAGCCAAAACATATTAATTAATTAATTTGAAAACAAAAAAAAGCAGGAAAGTGGATATCGATCTGCTGTACAGTAGAATACAAGTGGGTTACTGTGATGGATGGAATTAAATTTGAATCCAATGATATTATATCATTGTTACGAAAAACGATTCTGAGCGGAGACGGTTTATCTATTGTTTAGGATATATTATAGATTATTAATACTTATTAAAATATTTGACTTTCCATTGTAAATTAAAATTTTTTTTTTTTGATGAAGGTAGATAAAGTTATAAGGAATCTTGAATTAAATTTTCAATTCTTAGATTTAAAAAGAAATTTTTTCATGAAATTTTATCTAAGATAATTTTAACATTGCCGTTATTTTTACGTATTTAGTAAAGATTTGAACATTAAATGCTTATAAAAAAAATCTTGACTATTTTTCAACTGCTATTGAAACAATATTTTGGAAGTCTTAT